CTGCTACAAATTAGTTATTTTCCTCGCATCTTTTGTGTGCAATTTTTAGTCCTCTTATGATCGATTCTTAAATACTCTTTGGTGTTTCATGCACTTTTGAATTATTTGAGTCTTATAAATATAATTGAACCTTCGCTTGCATATTGGAATTTCGCTCTTTAGGAAAGATAAAATAGAGTGTGTCATATTGTTCCATGCTCTATGTTATCATGATTTTTTGTGAATTTTAAACATCTTAGGTGATAATCCGCTCTATGGGTGTTTTCATATACGTGTTTTTTGTATATTTAAATTCAATATAATATTTGATGCAAACAATTGTAGAGGGGGAAAATAGTTCACATACTATTATTATCTCCGCATGTTACATAGCAAGGAATGATATGCTCCCCGTCGCATCCTTATTTCATAGAATACAACTATAGAATAGCTAATTTAAGGTTCCCTAAACTTCTCTAACTCGTATTTTTTTGCCTTGAGTACCTCATTTTTAGTTTTTATATGCTCAATCTTGATTAATTAAATTTACCAAGCCAGTACTTCTAAAACTATTACTATTGAATATACCACATCTTAACCGCAACTTATGACTTGTGTGAGATAGAATTTGTCTAATTCTTTAAGTATATTCCTTTTCCCTCTTGTAGTATATCAGACTTTATGTAAAAGAACCATCAGTTTCTAGATTGTTTAATTATTTGCTTAACGTCCAATATCAACTAACACATTGCTATGACAATAAAAAAATCATAATGAATACCAAATTCATGTTGAACTTCTTTGCATCACTTTCAAAAAGAATTTTTAAAATTCACTGAAACCTCATGAATTCACAAATGCTGAAGAGATGTATCATGTAATTGATTTTGATGTTTATCTTATTCAGTGGCAATAATCTCCAATCTCTATATATATTTTTAATCTTCGACGTCAAACATATTTAAAACAAATATTTGAAATTATAGAATTCAAAGAGGGATAATATGAATGACGCAATACAACTATATCTGAAGAGAATCATTTCTAGAATGTTCAACAAAATGCTAATAGCAAGTAAATGGCAAGAAGAGTGGGAGTTTACAATACAATTTAAGAAAAAAAAAAGAGAGCAAAAGAACGAACAACATTCTACCTGAACCAATCAAGCAATCCTCATTCTACTTTTGTGTCATTCGTCTATTACATTCATTTTTGTTCTCGGCTCTTGGATAATAACCACAAGCAAGCATAATAGACTAATTAAGGTGCTAGAGACCATAGTGAAACAATAAAAGGATAAATCCTGTTTGCACTTAACCATTTGTAGCAAGACACCTTGAAACATATAAACCACCGGTCCAAAGACCCAAATGGCTTTCTTTTCAATGGCTTTCTCTTAGATGCCTTTCTTCAATGGCTTTCTTTTCTCTGCCTCTGCTTCAAATCTTCTATACACATATCCAAATACCTAAATCAAATAATCACCCATACCGGCCACAACTACGGAATAAATATTTACAACTATTAGAGTAGTGATTTTGGGAAAAATAATATCCCATAAATATTTAAATAAATCAAAGAACCAACGACGATACCTTCACTTTTCAAGTGACTCGCTTTTTCACCCACCTCCAAAGCCATATGAGAAAAGAAAAAAAAAAATAACAACCCGCCTTAAAATGCGGCAAACAGTTTACAGAAATCGATTTTACTTTCAACAATCAGCATAACCTTAATATATCGTTAGAGGAAGCATGATACAAAGTCATGATAGCTAATTCCAAGGTTCTATATGAGGAAACGACAGACTAAGCAAACCCAAAAGGAGCCGAAGCAATATAGAAAGGTAGGACTAATTAAAAGAGCTCACGAATTTTATTTTTTTCTGCTTTCACTTTCTCTTCGATCTTGAATAATATTGTAATCGAATAGGAAAAACTTCATTTGCTATAAATATTAAATGGTCAAGGTAGTTTTATGTGGCTTTGGACTTCAAAGATTCAATGGTCAAAAGATAGTTTGATGCCTCTTGGTTTTTGGAGTAAACTTAGTTTCCTAGGAATTTGAAGAAAATCATAGAATGGAGCCGATATATTAAGGAAAGATAATTTGTTTTTTGTTTTTTTAAAAGAATGTGATGTGTCTGGAGAAGGGTGTGATGTGGCAAGCCCTTGTGAGATCAACCCATCTTTTATATATATGATTTTAAATAGAATTATAGTTATGTTAATATTTACTTATAAAATTCTCACGAAATTTCCAGAAACATTACATCAACCTTTGCTTAATATATTATTAATCATTACCACCATCCCACGAGAATTAGCATTATGGATTAATCTCAGCTTGGCATTCGCAGCATACCTGTATAAACAAAATAATATCATCTACAAAAGCATATTTAGTTGAGAACATATATTTTATATACACCTTCCATTAGCAGATTTTTGTAATAATTATTAAGACTGAACATATATAGGTTCACACCTTGTTTTCTTTTAACCAATTTGAAATGCAATCCTTATGGAAAACATCTTTGCATGGTAAAATAGTGATTTTTTCTCCCTTCTCATAGTCTATTTGACATATGGAACACCTAAAATATTATCTAAATCAAACCAAACCAAAAATATGAACTGAAATTGCTTTTAACATTTTACCAAAGACTAAGCGTAAATTTCATGGATTAATCTAACGATATAAAATATTAAAGTCATATGTATAAAATATTAAAATATTAAATTCATATGTATATAAAATTAAAACATTAAAGTCAATTCATATGTATATGAAATTAGTTATACTAACGATATTAAATATTAAAGTCATATGTATATAAACAAGTTGAAAGATATGAAATGAGTCAAATGACATATAAGCTTACTGTTTATTATCGGGAACAAATGTTTTTCTTGAACACCACCAAGATTTGCGACCATATTTTTGAGTTGGTAATCCGGAGATTATATTTTCTGCTAGGCCTTCTTTATTGACTCCCTCACTCGATTCTCCTGACTCAATTTGTGGATTGTTATTCACAGTAGCAGTTTTGTTAGGTAAACTATTTGATTCTGGAGTTAAGGAATTATCAACATGTGTAATCTGATCCTGGGACCTATCACCATCGTTCAAGCCAGGAGTTCCTCTACTAATCTGCTTCAATTTACATAAAAGTAATTGGTTTGTGAAAAGAGTTAACAAATTTACATGAATACCTTTGTGTACGTAAATTCATAGATGAACAAAAAAAGAATAAAATCATAAATTTAAAGTGAACGGATAATCATGTATCGAAAATAATAAAATATATAAATACATATAATTTATGATATTATAAATAGAATCGGTATTACCGAAGGAAGATCAAGCTGAGGAATGTTTGGAGAATTCTCTACATATTGAAGAAAACATAGAAAAAATAAAAATGATAGCACATGTAATTCAAAGTTTATAGCGAACTCATGAAAATATATTTGTTAAATAATACAAACATTCCAACATCTATCGAATCCATCGCGTAACAATAGGATTACATAATATTATTAACGATTTTTAATTCAAGAAACATGCAAATTTACCTTCCATGTCGTATTGTTTTGCCAATACTTCATCTTCTTCTAACTGCAAGATTTTTGCATATTCTTCATCATTGCATATTGACGATGCTTCTGTAACGTTTTCATATAGAAACGAAATATTAATTATTACAAAAACATCATACTATTTAGTTATAGATTAAAACGGATAATAATGCATCGAGTCAAACATAATTCATACATCAAATGAAAACATAAAAATGTT